GAGCCACCCAGGTGCCCCAAGTCCCAATTATATTTAAAAGGATATGATAAAATCCAGTTGCCAACAGTGTAAAAAAATTTCAGCGTCCAGCATCTTATAAAAATTACCAGGCATACAAAGAAGCAAGAAAATAAGATACTAACAAGGGGAAAAATCAACCAATAGAAACAGACCCAAAATAACAGACAAGGACCTTAAAATAACTGTTACAAATAAGTTGCACATATCAAAAATGTAGAGAAAAATGAACATAATTAGCAAAATGAAAAATATAAAAAAAAGGCTGAAATAAAACTTCGAGATGAAAAATAAAATACCTGAAATGAAAAATGCAATAGAGAGATGAATAGCAGGTTGGTATTACAGAAGAATGGGTCAGTGAACTTCAAGACATGGCAGTAGAAATGATCCAAAATACAGCAAAAAGAATAGAGAAGCCTGGGGCACCTGGGTGACTCAGTTGGTTAAGCGTCTGCCTTCAGCTCAGGTCATGATCCCAGGGTCCTGGGATTGGGCTTCGCTTCGGGCTCCCTGCTCAGCGGGGAGCCTGCTTCTTCCTCTTCCTCTGCCTGCTACTCTCCCTCCTTGTGCTCTCTATCTCTCTGTCAAATAAATAAATAAATATTTAAAAAACAAAAAGATAAAAAAAAACAAACAAAAAGAATAGAGAAGACTAAAGAGAGAATAACAGTATTTAGGAACCTGTGAGACAAAATTAGCTGTTCTCAGATACGTGTAACTAGACTTCCAAAAGAGGAGGGAATGCAAGCAGCATTTGAAGAAATAATGGCTGAAAAAAAATCCAAATTTGATGAAAACTACAAACCACAGAGCTCAAAAACCCCAAATAGAATAAACAAAGAAAACCATACCAATGTACTGCATAATGATACTGCTGAAAAACCAGTGCTAAAGAGGGGAAAAAAAAAAAAAAGGCAAGAAGAAAAGACATTACAGAGGAACAAGACAGAAATGACAGCTGACATCTGGTCCAAGCTCGTGCTAGCCAGAAGACAACACAGTGACATGTTTAAAGCCCCGAAAGAAAAACCTGTTTAGAATTCTGTACCCAGAGAAAGTATCTTTCAGAAATAAAAGTGAAATCACAATTTCTAGGCCAAGAAAAGCTGACAGAATTTATTGCCAGCAGATCTGCACTACACAAAATTTTTAAAGAAAGTTCAGGTAGAAGCAAATGACACCAGATGGAAATTTTTTCAGAGAGGAGTGAAAAGAACCAGAAATGGTCAATAGATGGATAAATATTCTCGCTTTTAATTGCCTTTTTAAAAAAATTGGCTATTTAAGGCAAAAATAACAATATATGATGGGCCTTCTAATACTTGTAGAGGTAAATAAATGAAAAGAGTAGTATAAAGGATGGGAGGGGAGAAATGGAAATATGGTATCACTGTACTTAAAGTGGCATAATAGTATTTGCAGGTAAATTGTGATAACTTAAAGATAACTATCATATCCAGAAAAATCTGTCATCGCTGGCAAAAGAAGGAAACATTAATGCCAATAACAGGGATGTAAAATAGGGTACCACTACAGACCCCACAGACATTGAAAGGGTAGTAAGAGTAAAATTGTGAATAATTTTATGCCAATAGATTTGATAACTTAAATAAAATGAAAACATTCCTCGACAAACACAAACTATCAAAGCTCACTCGAAGAAATACATAACTTTCATTACTCTATGTTTATAAAAGAAATTGGATTGGTAATGAAAATCCTTGGGGCGCCTGGGTGGCTCAGTCAGTTAAGCTTCTGCCTTTGGCTTGGGTCATGATCTCAGGGTCGGGTCCTGGGATCGAGCCCCGCATCGGGTTCCCTGCTCAGCTGGGAGTCTGCTTCTCCCTCTCTCTCTCTGTCCACCCCTACCCCCTGCTCATGCTCTCTCAAATAAATAAATAAAATCTTAAAAAAAAAAAAAATCCTTGCCTCAAAGAAAACTCCAGACCCAAATGACTTCACTGGTAAATTGTATTAAACACTTAGAGAAGAAGGAATACTAATCTGACAAAAACTTTTCTAGAAAATAGAAGAGGAGGGAATGTTTCCTATCTCATTCTGTGAGCCAGCACTGCCCTGAAAGCAAGACTAGACAAAAACATTACAATAAAGGAAAACCACCAAGTGCATTTGTCTTACACACGGGTCTTCCATGCGTTGTAGCAAATAGAATCCATATAGAAACATATAAAAAGGATATTACATAATGATCAAGTGAGGTTTATCTCAGGAATGAAAAATTGGTTTAACACTGAAATCAATCCATGTAATCCACCATTTTAGTAGATCAAACAGAAAAATGAGAAGCAAAGAGATGGAAATGCAGGAATCACAAAGGGAAGGCGGGAGACACAGGAAGTAGTGACTGGATTCTGAGAGGAGAGGGGCAGTGTGGAAGCAGTATTTGAAAAGGCGATGGCTGAAATTTTTCTGGAAAGTTAAAAGAAGCCAAACTGCTGTGTTAAGGTGTTCAACAAATGGCTGACAAGATATCCTAAGTAAAAAATCCACACCCAAACACAGGGCAGTAAAGCACATAAGATTATCTGCAAAGGGACAGTGGGCAGCTTCTCAACACCAGCAATGAGAGCCACATGGCACTGGGAGTGATACCTTCAGTACGAGAAAGGAAAGGATTCTCTCTAACCAAAATGATTGAATGTTACATAAAACGTTAATGGTGACCAAAAATTCGTGCACATGTGTAAATACACAATAGTAGGACATAAACCGGAAATATGAATAGAGATAGTATTCTAAAGTCCTTGCTATCCAGGAGAAGGGTAAAGATACAGTCGCCTTTGAGAAGAACCTGCACGTTGTGATTTCTAAAGTTACCATTAAAAGAATAAAAACAACCTGTAGCTTCTAGATTACTGGGAAGCGGGGATTAGAAAGATAACAATCCTGAAGGAGGCAGATAGCCCCTGGCAAAATAGTAGAACTAAATCTACATATTCGGAATGGCTTCCAATGTAAATAGAGTAAATTTTCCATTTAAAAGGCAAAGATACCAAGGTTTTTTTAATAAGATTTTTAAAAAAAAATTCCAAGTGTATACTGTTTACAAGAGATTCATCTAAAAGGATTCAGAAATGTTGAAAGTAAAATGATGGCAAAAATAAACTATGCAAACACCAAGAGCAAGATTGTGTAGTGTTAGACAAAATATATTTTAAGGCAAAAAAGCAGGACTAGAGTGCCATTTCACGTAATATGGTGGGCAGCTCTAGGCCCTATAACAAAATAAATAGATTATAAACAAGTTCATTTCTTGCTCACATAAAGTCCAGGATATGTAGTCCTAGTTGGCAGGTTGCTTTCCACATGTTTGAGTTCTTTGGGAAAGAGAATCTCTTGTAGTCCCAGAGGAGGAAGAAAAGACTTAATTTGACTCTGTATGTTCACAGGGGAAAACCAGCTCTGACCAGGGAATAGGAGGCTCTCACTGGCAGGACTGACTGACACATGGCTGCCTGTGCCTGGGGGTTGGAGTCAGTGTCTCTGGAAGCTGGTGGACGGAGATTGGGGAGTTCATTAAAATCTGATGCGAGATCGTAGCACAGTAACCATTAGAAAAATGAACAGGTGCTTGTTGCAGAATTGCAGCAGGGGTGCCTGGGTGGCTGAGTTGGTTAAGCGTCTGACTCTTGACCTCAGCTCGGGTGTTGATTAAGGGCCCTGAGTTCAGGCCCTGTTTTGGGCTCCACACTGGGCTTGGAGCCTACTTTAAAAAAAAATTGCATTGCAGCAATTGTCAGATGTAAAATTCTTACAGATGTAAGAAATGTAAAAAATTCTTTTTTTTTTTTTTTTTTAAAGATAGAGACGGGGGGGGGTGGTGGGCAGAGGGAGAGGGAGAGCGAGAATCTTGAGCAGGCTCCATGCCCAGCACATAGCTCAAAGCAGAGCTCCATCTCAAGGTCATAACCTGAACCAAAATCAGAATCAGATGCTTAATGGACTGAGCCACCCAGGCACCCCTATGCAAAATAATTGTAAAATTCTATTTAACAAAGAATTCTTAGGATACCACTACACAGCCATTCAGTTAGTAAGAATTAAAAAGCCTGACAAATCTTGTTGAAGAAGTTGAGCACCAGAAACTCTCTTATATGCTTCTGGTGGGAGTATAAATTGTAACAACTGATTTGGGAAATAGTTTGGCTTTATGTAGCAAAGGTAAATTTATACTTACTCAATAACCAGCCGTCCCATTTCTAGGTCTGTACACCAGAGAAATACATGCTCACGTGCTTAAGATAGCTGCACCAGGAAGATCTATTAGTAGTGTGTGTTTGCTCCAAAGCAGAAACTACCTAGGGGACAGGGGAAGGCATAAGTAAATTATGGTATATTTACACAGTGAAATACTACACAGCAATGAAAATAAATGGCAGGTACGGCAGCAGAGGTGGAGTAAAAAAAAAAAAAAATAGCAAGGTGAAAGAATACATACAATATAATTCTGTGTATATAAAATTCAAATTTTGGCAAAAGGAAGCTGTATCAGTGCTGCATGCCTGGACGGTACATCTAAAGAAAAGTAAAGTGATAACCGTAAAGGTTAGGGTAGTTGCTGCTCACAGGGGGAGGAAGGGGTTTGGGGTTGGAGAGAGGCACCCAGAGTTTTTGGGGTTTCAGCAGCGTTCTCTTCCTTCCTTGGCCTGGATGGTAGTCGGACTAGTGTTTGTGCACTGGACGTACGTGCTGCCTGTGCTTTTTATGTGTGCAATACTTAGTGATAAAAGTTATTTTAAAATTAAAATAGTCTGAACATATTCAGACTTTGTATTTTGTGTCCAACTAAAAAAATGTGGAAAATCCAAAGCACATGTTTCTGTAGAGTGGTTAAAATGTTTTCTTTAAACTTCTTCCTTGATCATTTTTTTTTTTAATTTACATTTTTGGAATTCTGTTTTTAAAATCTGGAAAAATGTTCCCAGTGGAGTTGACCCAGTATTATTCTTACTCCCCAGGTAAGAGACTCCACTACACTCTTTGAAGAAGGATAAGATTGGCCCTGCTTCGCTTCTTTCTTTACCGAAGTCTCTTCCTCCCAGACTGAGCTTGGCTGTATCTTCCTTACAGCATATGACACACGGGTATGTCACTGGAAAATTTTAATTTGTATAGATTCCTTTTTGCAGCTGGAACTTGTTTGCTTTTCATAAAAATAAAGTGATTAAAACACATCTTGAACTTACTCATTTTTGGCTTTAGCAGTTTCACTCTGTGACAGATGTATTTGAGTATCTTCCGCACACATGGTACCGTATTTTTGTGTGTGTCTAACTTATTTCTCATTTTTTTAAACCAGCATTACACTTGGAGAATAGGTGCCATCATATCTGATGGCCCAGTAATGATGAATGTGTTTGAAACCCAGGGCAGGGGTAAGGGTTTCTGCCTCCTAGGCCTGCCCTCCAAAAGCTCCAAGGCTCGCCCTTCCCAGCAGGACACCCACTGCCATGAAGTTGCCAGTGGCCCAGGCTGGAGGCCTACTCAGCTCAGGATTGCATCTTTTGATACTTGAACTGTTTGCTCTGTAACCATCGTTCTCTAGGAGTTTGAGAGGAAACAAAATACCCTGTGTTTTAGTCTCTAATTTGTGACTGAGTGGCATTTTATACTTGAAATGAAGAACTCTTTAATATGTTAGAACAGTAAAATAAGTATAAAATGGATTTGAAATATTTGCATCCAAAACGAGATTTCATATATAGCTATTTTTGATAAATTGGTAAGTATCAAGAAAACTGCTATTTAAAAATCATTCATAATCACAGGACTACTCAGTTTTTCCCAGCTGTCTTGAGTTTTTTAGTTTGTGTGGAGTGGGGTTCAAACAATGGCAGCTAGCGGATGCTGCCCTTCGGTCTGTTCTGTCACTCGACAACCCCTCCCTGTCCCTTTTCTTCTGTGCGTTTTTTTCTTAGTTGCTTGTTTATAGTCAGAAGTTTCCCTGTGTTGACTTTTGCCCTTTCCACTGAGCGTGTTCTTCTGCCCGCTGCATCTCCTGTGACGTGGTGGGTAGATCCAGTGGCTTGCCCGCGGCCCGGCGCGGCCTTGGAGCGCAGGCCCTGCAGAGGCGGTGCTGTGTGCCCTCAGCAGGTCTTCCTGGCTCAGGGCCAGCCTGGCCTCAGTCACTGGAAGTCATGAAATGATGGTGTTACACGCTTCGTCATTTACTTTGCCTTGCGTAACTGAAATACTTTGATAGATAGAAACTTCCCCTCCTTAAGTATTTGGTTACCCTAAAGGGCAGTTCAAATAGAAGAGGGAGGATCAATGCTGGTTCTTTCTCTTTATCAGATCTCAAAACAGTGAGATGGTTCTCTGGCCACTCCCAAAGTGACCAGTGACTGTTTTAAGTAGTTTGACAAACTCAGGAAATTAGTCCTCTGTGGTATGTTTAAATCCCTCGCAGTTAGGATTCTTGGAGATGCTGACATTGAGCCACTATGACCAGCGCAGCCTTGTTGAGTGGGCTCCTTTGTCCTTTGATGTGCCCCACACTCTTCCTTCCCTCATGTTCTGAGCTGGTAACATGTTTCAGATTCCTTCTAAACTTCTTTGCCCCAGACCTGGCATTGCCTCTTTCTCTGAGCAGCTCTTGAGACCACACTCTCGGCACTGGGGAGACTCACTGCTACCGGGCTGTTATTGTTTCCAGGCCTTTTGGACAGATGGCCTGGCAAATATGCTTTTTAAGTGAGAATATCATGAGTTCATACTGTTGCTTGTTTCAAATTTAGTATTATTTGGTTTTTACTTCTTTGTGTTCATATTGATATCTCTTTTCTCTAATGCTGAAAACCTTGGTTTCTAACATTAGCATCGTTACTTGTTTTATCCTATAAAATCTATGTGATATTTTAGAATAACAGTGCCAATATATTACCAACAGTATGATTCCTGAAAATAGTTTAGGGTTTCCTGCAGGTTTTTTTGTCCTTAGAGTATACATCCCTAGGGATATTTTGCCAAATTAAGTTTTAAAGTCACCGAGCCAGCCCCTTAGTGTGCCAGCAACTTGCGTACACAGTCATATCCATTTTTTATTTGAATTTGAAGGAATAGCTTCTTGTAAAATTTCGTTGTAAGTTTATAAAACATTTTCATTTTTCCAAATCAAAATAAAATATTTTCAGAAATGAGGCTTTTGTTCCTAATCTTTATACCCTGTTTCTTCCTTCCTCCTTAGGTAACATATCTATTTTTAATGTACGTATGTGCACACAGCCCTCTTTCTTAGAAATTGGTTGCATACAATACAGCTTTTCTCCATCATGTTTTTGTTTTTTAAACTTAAACAGCATGTTGTGAGGCCTACACCGTAGTATACATGGACCCTCCTCATTATTTTTTGTGGGGCTGCGTAGTATTCCATCATGCTGGATGTATTACAGAAAAAAGCTTATTTTTCAAAATACGTTGGCTTTAGTCCATATATATTTCTCCTGTGGGTGGATGTCATCAGTTTTGCTCTTTAATCTGTTGCTGATTTCTTAGTAATTTGGGGACCTTATAAGCACATTGCTTGTCTATGCCTGGTTTTCCTTATGTGTAAAATGTAAGGTTTGGACTAGAAGCTCAAGATGGGTTATTTTATCTGAAAGACTGCAGATAAGTAAACTGAATCTGAGAGCATCTCCCTAGCAACAGAATGTACACTGTGGGGCGCCTGGCTGGCTCAGTTCGTGGAGCATGTGACACTTGATCTCAAGCCCCATAGTAGGTTGTGGAGATTACTTAAAAAAATAAAATAAAATCTTTAAAAAAAAAATGTACACCCTATATCCACAGAGGTGGTAGTGACAGGGAGTTGGATCGGGAGTTGCCGAAACCAACAGGCCTTGGTCAGTAAATGGTTGTGAGAATCAGGGAGGCTAGGACGGTTCTGCTGGGGGGCGGCCGGCTCAGTGCTAGTGGCTCTTCCTGAGGTGGGAGCAGGTTGTTGTGGCGGGGGCAGAGATGTGTCAACTAGGAATGGGAAGTACCGAGAATGGCAAATTCCATGTTGGCTGCATTAAATACGAGGGACCTGTGTAGCAGGACAGACTGAGCGAGGTGGTCTGGGAGCTCAGGAAGGGTGGTGCTGCACTGCTCAGAGTATAGAGGCCCATGGGTACAGGTCTGCTGGATGAGGTCTTGGGAGGGGGTGCGATTGGCTAGCATGAGTGTGCGGAGGAGAGAAGAGTGTCCGCATCAGCACCCAAACAGCCCCTGCCTTTAAACCACAGTCAGAAATGGGGGAGTCTGCTGGAGAGATTTGGGGAGGGAGGCATTGACATAAGAGCCAGTGCTTTGTGAAATCTCATGCTTTATTATAAAAGTTGATTTAAATATTGTAATCCAGTCCTTCATGTGGCCACGCTTTATGTTTTTCACTCATATTTTCAAGTAAAGTTGATCCTCCAGGGAAATGAACCTTATCACACGTGTGCAGCTGCTTCTGCCTCCTGTCCAGGCTCAGCCTCAGGGCGGCGTCCACCTGGATGTGACTCTTTGTGGCTTGCCAAATGCCCTGGGCCTCAGCCTGTCTCCCTCCCAGACGGCAGGACTCTGGCCCTGGGCCAGGAGAGGCACAGCTTCTTTGCACAGTCAGGGTTGAAGGAGTGCTTTACAAAAAATCCCTAAATCAAGGAATATTGGCAGTGCTGGGCCTCCATAGCTGTTGTTTTCCTAAAGGATTTAAAACCCAAGTTTTATACTGGGGTTTAATCTGGTTCTTCTCCAGCTGTGAGCCTGTGGCCAGCCGTCTGTCCTGTCCTCATCACCCCTCCCCCCCCCCCCCCCCCGTCTCTCTCTTTCTCTCAAGTGGGGCTTTTCGTACATGATTATGATCTGCCTGTTTGTTTGGAGAAGAATAGGGTCTCCTCTCTTCTTTACTTTGTCAGTGCGTCATCCACAGCCCCTCTCTCCTAGCTGAGCATTTGGCATCAGGTATCGTGAAAAGAGCCTGTCCTGAAATGTTTGCATAAACACGTATTGCCAGAAAACTTTTTTTTTTTTATCAACAGAGCACACCTGTCTGTTTATGGTTTTCTCTCATCTTTTATTGGCATTACTTAAATGATATTTTTAATTTCCCTGCTGGGCTTGATGTTGAGCTCATTTTCCTACATCCATGTTATGTTTAGTACTTTCTTGCTGGCAGGAGCCATTTTCTTTGTTTATCTGATGCTTCCCTTTTTTGGTTTTCCCCGGGCTTTCCAGTTCTTGGAACACCCTTTTGTCAGCAGATGTGCTTTGGTTTCCAATTTCCAATCTCCAAGTAAGATGTAGCTCAACTTAAATCACAAGTAGGGAAGATAAATCGTTAGAGTAAGGAAGACGCAGAGGAATCCAGTCCAGCTCTTTGCTGTATCCCTGAGTACGGATATGCCTCAGCTGAGAGAGGGGGGCTTCCTGCGGAGCTGACTAGAAACCAAAATTGTGTGAAACGACAATTTTCTCAAATAGAAGTTTTTGCATTTGGATAAAAATATGGCCTTAAAATGTAATAAATTCATGCCTAAACATGTAGCAAAAGTAAATAAGGTAATAATAGAGCAGTAATTCTACTCAGAGGACCCGGCAGAGTGGGAGTTCTAGAACTAGGAAGGTCAGGCCCTGGGGCAGGCCCTGGTCCTTGGAGCAGCCCTGGCAGCCACCTCGGAGGCTGCTGCTTCCCCTGGTGGTTTCTGCTCTTGGCTCCTCTCCTCCCCAGAGTGCACAGACCCCCGGAGCCATTTCTCAGTTACATCCATTCCCTACCTTATAGTTTCCACTGTGCTCTCTTTGCTTCGTGTATCTATTGTTTCTGTTCAGCAGAACATTTCTCTTTCTCTCTCTCTTTTTTCTTTAAGATTTTATTTATTCATTTGAGACAGAGAGAGAGAGAGAGTGAGCAGGGGGAGAGGCAGAGGGAGAGGGGGAAAAGCAGGCTCCTCACTGAAACAGGAGCCTGACGTGGGGCTCGATCCCAGGACCCTGGGATCATGACCTGAGCCGAAGGCAGACGCTTAACCATCTGAGCCACCCAGGCGCCCCAGCAGAACATTTTTCTTGATGTGTGTGGAACCAAACATCTTCTTCCCACACTTGATGCTGAAAAGGT